TCGCGGCTTTCCCCACCTCGCTCGCCCTCGGAAGCCTTTCTGTTACTGTCTCACGGGCCGCGTAGCCCGCAGAAGCCGGTTTCGGGCGCACCCTGTAAAGCTGCCTGCATCGGCCGCCACTGCTCGGCTGTTGGTCCCTCCAGTGGGCGTCAGCCGTGCCGTCTTTCCTCCTCGCACTTGCTTCTGCGGCACCTGCCCCTGGAATCCCTTTCTCTGCCCTCCACCTTCCCGTATTCTGTCCATTCTGCATCCATCCAGTCCAAAGAGAACTTTCATCTACTCACTCACCAGTGACGTAAGCCAGGCCCAGGGGAGGTGGTGCTCTGGGCAGGTGCATGGACTTCTACCTGTGGGCAGGTGTGAGAGACACACCTCCTGGCCACCTCCTCTCTCCCTTGTCTGGTGCTCCCTGCCCAATTCATCAGGTGCAAAGCCCCCAGGCCCCCGGTAGGAAAGAGGCATCTCCACCATTGGGACATCCCTCCCTCCACAGCAGCGAGACTGGAAAGGCGTGTGGGAGCCAGCTGGTTTATTTATCTGCTTGCTTCCTCTGAAACAACACCGGGGCACTTTCTCATTTAATTCTCATGCCTAAAGCACATGGTGCCCAGACATTAACCTCTGTCATTGCAGATGGAGTGGTGGTAACATTGATTTTTCCCTCTGTCATCCCATGCCCATGTGGCTCTGGGATCAGTCTGGGAGGCGGGGGGAGGAAGCCCAGAAAAGTCTCACGTAGGTCTGGGAATACGATAGGTGCTCGATTAGCCTTGTCCCTCCATGCCAGGCCCTGCAGGGGTGAGTGAGGCTGGGATCTGAGATCAAACTCTAGAATGTGACATTTGGGTCCTGAGTGGAGGATGGAGGGCATTGGGGATGAACCTAGAGGAAGGGATGAGCCTGAGGGTAGCCTGGGCTGACCAGAGTGAACCAGGGGATGATGGGTGATAAGCTTGCATCTTTTATTTTTTTTTAAATATCTTACTACTTTTTTAATTTAAAAAATTTTATTTGATTGAAAGAGAGAGAGATCCCAGGCATCGTTCACTCCACAAGTGTCCACAAGAGCTGGGCTGGGCCGGGCCAAGGCCAGGCGCTGGGAACTCAGTCCAGGTCTCCTACATGGGTGGCAGGGACCTAAGCACTCGAGCCCTCACGGCTGCCTCCAGGGGTCTGCATGAGCAGGAAGCTGGAGTCAGGAGTCAGAGCTGAGTGTTGAACCCTGGTGCTCTGTGTGGGATGCGGGTGCCTTAGCCTGCATCTTTTTTTTTTTTTTTTTTTCTTTTGAGAGAGAGAGATCTGGCCGGCGCCGTGGCTCAATAGGCTAATCCTCCACCTTGCGGCACTGGCATACCGGGTTCTAGTCCCGGTCGGGGCGCCAGATTCTGTCCCAGTTGCCCCTCTTCCAGGCCAGCTCTCTGCTGTGGCCCGGGAAGGCAGTGGAGGATGGCCCAAATGCTTGGGCCTGCACCCCATGGGAGACCAGGAGAAGCACCTGGCTCCTGCCTTCGGATCAGCGCGGTGCGCCGGCCGCAGCGCGCCGGCAGTGGCGGCCATTGGAGGGTGAACCAATGGCAAAAGGAAGACCTTTCTCTCTCTCTCTCTCTCTCTCTCTCTCTCACTGTCCACTCTGCCTGTCAAAAAAGAGAGAGAGAGAGAGAGAGATCTACCATATGCTGGTTCACTCCCCAGATGGCTACAATGGCTGGAGCTGGGCCAGGCTGGAGCCAGGAACCAGGAGCCAGGAGCTCCTTCCAGGTCTCCCATGTGAGTGCAGGGGCCCAAGGAGTTGGGAGTCATCCTCTGCTCCTTTCCCAGGCACATCAACAGGGAGCTGGATTGGAAGTGGAGCAGCTGGGACTTGAACTGGAGCCCATATGGGATGCTGGTGCTGCAGGTGGAGGTTTAACCTTCTACACCACAGCTCTGGCCCCCTTAACCAGCATCTTACATGCTAGGGCAAATGCCCTCCTTGTGTTGCATCTTTTAGATGGAGCCAGGTTCAGGGACGGCATTGCAGCCCCGAGGGGTCTGGGAGACGTCACCTTCTGCACCCATGAGGCTGGGCGTCCTTCCCTCACTCACCAGCACAGAGGCAGACTCGGCCTCAGGCGGGGACCCTGCTATTCACGGCCAGGGAGCGGATGCTGGGAGCCCCTGCTCTGCAGAGCTCGCCACCGTCACACGGAGGGAGTGAGGCGTGGGAGCTGGGCTCACTCGGTGGTCTCGGTGCCGCCTCCCTGGCTGTGTCTGTGCTGCCCTTCACTCCGTCTCCACGTCCTGTGTGTGCATCCACCCACCAGCACGCTCTCTGTGCCCTGCTCAGCTCTCCATGCATCTCACCACCGGTAGGAGTCAGGTAAACTGTCCAGACTCCGAGAGAAGGAGGGTTTTGTGAAGATTTACACAGGTCTCCGCTGGGCTGGCGCCGTGGCTGTTTAATCCACTGCCTGCGGATGGGGATCCCACATCAGTGCAGGTTCAAGTTCCAGCTGCTCCGCCTCCAATCCTAATGCGCTACGGAGACTGTGGGAGATGGTTGGACCCCTGCACCCCCATGGGAGGCCTGGGTGGAGCTCCTGGCTCCTGGCTTCAGCCTGGCCCCGCCCCAGCCATCATGGATATTTGGGGAGTGAACCAGCAGATGAGAGATCTCTTCCTCTCTTTGCCTCTTTCTGTCATTTTGCCTTTCAAATAAATAAAGGAATCTCTCTCTTAAAAAAAAAAAAGCAAAACCATCTTGCCAGTTATGGCAAGGATGCCAGTCATCTCCGTCTCACGTCACCACGGATGCCGGGAGACTGGAGGAGCCGGCTTTTCCGTCCCACGTGGCCTGCTCGGCGGATACTGTAAGCCTGATAAGGAAGCAGCCTAGTGGCTAAGGTGCCTGCATCCGCATCAGAGGACCTGGCTTCCGGCCCCCGCACCGCTCCTGGCTCCAGCTCCCTGCTACTGCGCACCCTGGAGGCAGCAGTAGTTGGGTCTGTGCCAATCATGTGGGAGGCCTGGGCTGAGTTCAGGGCTTCCAGCTCTGGCCCAGCCACAGTCCCAGCTGTTGTGAGCATTTGGAGAATGAACTAGCAGATGGGAGATCTCAGTTTATCTGTCTCTGCCTTTCAAATAAATAAATACATAATCTTTGCAGAGCGTTGTAGGTTAGGCTGTGTAATGGGGGTCTTCTTGGGAGAGTGCTGGAGAATGCAGGGGCAGCCCACCAAGGAGGTCAGGGCCAAAGCGGGTGCCAAGGCAGGGCTTTGTCGACAGCTGGCACGCAGACTCCGTGCCTTCTCACGTGCCGGGTCCCAGTGCGCGTGCCTCTATTTGACACTTGCTCAGCCCAAACCTCGCCTGGAAGAGGGCGTGTGTCCCCTCCTGACTCTCCCCAAAACTCAATACCAGCCCCGGAGCAGGGTCTGATCTGCAGGAGAATGGAGGGAAAGGATGGCTGGGGCCCCCATCTGGGCTGGGCTGTGTGGGTCTCCCAGGGCTGGGGGTGGGCAGGGGTGAGGGGTGGGGAGGCAGGAGCAGTTGTGCCCACAGCCTTCTGCCCTCTGCCAAGTGAGCGGAGACACCAGCTGGCTCATCTGGCCCACCTGCTTTGCCGCACGCGTCTGACACCTGGCTAAATCTGCAGGTAGCCGGCTGACGTCCCAACCTCAGACAGACAGGAAAGCCCCGTGGGTGACTCACTTGGACCCCGCGGTCAGTCGCAGAGGAGTTGTGACACTTTGTCTCGGAAGGAGCTGCTAAGGAGGAGTTTAACGAGGGAGATGGGGAGTTGTCCGGGTGAGGAGCTGTGTTTAGCCTCCCTTGGGACCCCGAGGGCAGCTGTAGAAGGCACCCCACCTGGACCGCCCCTATCCGATTGGCTGTGAACTCAGGGCCAGTGGCCACACCCCCAGGCCTAACCTCCTCTCAATGCCAAAGGCTTTTGGTGACACTCGTCCCCTGTTAGCAGAGTCGCATTTTCAGTGGTGTTGGCTGGAAGGAGAAGCTACCCCGAGTTCTGGGGGGCTTTCACATAAACCCCAGGAGTATCCACGTGTCCGTGAGAAATCTTGCTCTTTCTGTATCATCACGTTCATTCCAGCAATAGGCGATGTTTGCAGGCCAGAGAATCCCGCCCCCCCGGAGGTGGCCCTGAGCCCCCGGCCCATGCTCCCAAGGTCAGCGATCCACACTGGGGGACCCCAGGACTGGAATCTGGGGTTCCTTAAAGCTGCAGGACCTCAGGGCCCCAGCGGGCCCCTCCAGGGTCATTTCAGACCCTCCTCTTTTTGGGAGGGACACTTTGTCAAGGATCCCCTGTGGCATGAACGGAGGGGGTGACACCTCCTGCCCCAGGTGTCACTGCAGGGGCGTGGTTCAGACTGTAAGCTGCTTGGTGCAGATAGAGGCCTGGAGGGTGTGAGTGGTCGACAGCCCCAAGCAGGCAACAGGAGCAAGGCTTCTGGTGGTGGCCTGGCCAGAGCTTCCTGGTGAGGGTTTTCTCAGCTCAGTTCCCTCCCCAACCCCCCAGCCGTGTATGCATCAGCAGGTGAGAGGAAGTGGAGGGACGAGGCTGGTCTAAGATGCAGGAGCAGGAGATGGGGGCAGGTGCAGCCCTCGAAGGAGTACAGATACAGGGGGGTCTTGCATCCAAGGGTGGGCTCGGGGGGCTCAGGTCGCCCTGAAGTGGTAGGCATGTTGGTGCCCATGGGTGTTTTTCCCAGGGGAAGGTCCACAGCTTTCATTAGGAGCCCACGGCCCTGAACCAAAACCCACGCGGAACCCTGTCTGGAGTTCCCACGCTCCTCTGGCTCTCGCCTCCCCCTCTCCAGGGGCCCGGAACCTGAGAGCTGTTACCACTCACGTCAAAGCCTGCACGTGCAGGACCCCAAGTGCTTGTTACACACGAGGACGGGGACGTGGTCTGCTTTGTGGGGCTGTCTACTGCGAGCCCACAGGTGCCGGGGACACGCTCTGATTCAACACGCGGCCTCCTGTGTTCTCCTGCACAGGGCCCGGGATGGCGCGCTCCGTGGCGGGGCTCCTGCTCGTCTCCCTCCTGCCAGCCGCTCTCACCCTGAACCCCGAGGACCCCAACGTGTGCAGCCACTGGGAGAGGTAAGAGGTGGGACTTGAATGCTCAGGCACGCCCGGGGATTGCCCGCGGGACAGGTACTGTGGGGACAAGAGCAGAGTCCAGACTCAGGGCCCGTGGTCCAGCTGGGGCACGGTGCCATCACAGGAAGGCAGGATGGGACGGTAGATGCTGTCCGAGGCTCGGCGCTGTGCCAGGTCAAGGTGGAGGCAGCTTACACCAGGCTCCGTAGCACCGTGGACAGTGTGCTGCCCTGGCCTTCTCTGTCCATTTTACAGACAGGGTAGGAGAGGCCCAGCTGGGCTGCAGTGAGTGGAGGGTGTGGGCTGTGGCCCCAGAGGCCACTCTGTGATACTATGAGGTTCGCCCTTGTCTCCCAGGACTGGCAGCACTGTGCCAGCTCGGGCGTGTAGCCAGCAGCCTGCCCTGGGCAGGACGGGGGAGGCCCCTGCTGCTCTGGTGGGGTCGGGGCAGGGGCTGTCCCGGGGAGGGTGGATGAGGTTGTAGGCGAGGAGCTGCCACATCCTGGCTGCAGCTCCGAGCCCTGGGGGAACCGGCCAGGGCTCCGAAGGCTGACTTTGAAATCCAAGGTGAAAGTATTGATTTTGGTGAGCGCGAAGACACTGACCAGAGACCAATCAGGAAAAACAGAATTAAACCCTGGGATTGATTGGCCGCGCCAACCGGGATGACGCTACCACTTTGATGTTAATAAATCACATGAATAAAATTCAGATGAGGGCCCGATGGGGGACGTGGATGGCAGAGGAGGAAAGGCGGGCTGGGCGGTGCTGGCCCCAGTCCTGAGAGGGTGACCGGCCCAGCCCCGCGGGGAGGCAGGGGCCGGAGGCAGCGGACCGGGCCCACGCAGGCACCACCTGCAGTGGCTGATGCCCGGCGTGGAGTCCTAGGAGAGGGGAGGCCGGAGACAAAGGCAGGGCCGCGGGTGCCCCTTCTAGTGTACGGGAAAGAGCGCGAGAAGACCTCGGTGCTCCGGGGCCCGGCTTTCCTGCCCTGAGCTGTGTGACTTTGGGGAAGTCTCTCAACCACTTGGCGCCCACTCCCACCTCTGTGTGATTATCCTCACCTCCTGGGCTTGTCCGGGGGTCCAGGACACCAGCTGCAAGAAGGAGCTTTGAGGGCCATAAAGCTCGGTTGTCGCCTCTGCTGGTTGACCTGGCTTCCCAGTGGCTCTGACCTGGGGCCCTTTCCTCCAGGGAGCCCTCCCTGATTTCAGGGCCTCTCTTGTCTTCCCTCTTTGCTGAGTCCCAGTGGATTCGTTCACGCTGACACCGAACTCTCTAATTGCCTAAACCTGCCCAGCTTGGAGAAATCTGGCGTCTCCAGTGGTTCGGGTCCTCCGCTGAGGCTACAGCCTGGCTGGGAGGACCAGGAATGGAGCAGCGGCACCGGCGAGGAGGCCTGGTGATGCCTTGTGATGCCGGTTCGCCAGGACGCCTGGCTCTTCTCGGCTTTTCCATGACGAGATGCATGTGGATGGGTGTGGCCAGTGCCATTCTAGAAACACAGCGCGGTCCCTGCGGACCACTTAGGGAGAATTTCCCAGCTAGATTAACGCTTCTGGCGGGCTCCTCATTAATTATGCTCTTCCACCATAAAGCCCAGCATCAAGCCTCCCCTGGCTGGAAAAGCCTGGCTCTGTGAGATTAATCTGGCCCCTTATTAGCATGCTGGGAAGGGAGCAGCATTAAAGCACTCAGCCGTGAAAGCAGGGGCACGCGCTTGGGTCGCAGACTTGGACTTGGCACAAGGTCCCACTGCCAGACCCGCTCTGCCCAGGGCGTCCTGCAGAGCTGGGTCCGTCCCCCGTGGCACCCCTGGCCCTCTCTGCTTCCCTGAGCATCAGCCTGGAAGTGGAGCCCGTCCTGGGTGCGAGTCTCATTCCTTCTCGCCCCTCGGTGCCTGGTGCAGGCAGCGAATCATCGTCCTTACAATCACTATTATTACCTGCCGTGTAATGATGATGATCAGCATCTATTAGGCACCTACTGTGGTTTTTTGTTTTTTTTTTTTTTTTTTTTGCATTATGGATTTTTGCATGCCTTATGTTTTAGCTTCCCACCGAGAGGTAAATATTACGGTTGCCCAGCTTTAACCCTAAGCACGTGGAGTCGCTGGGACTGTGCATCCTGGACTTACAGGCGAGGATGGAGGCTTGTCTGCAGTAAATGGCAGGTCTGAGAACACACAACACCAGGCTCCGAGCCTCGGCACTCTCACCTGTTCATTCTCCCGCCTCGGAGGGAGGAGTGCCGGGGATGTGTCGGAGCGCAGGGGTGTGGACTCATGGGATTTTAGGGTGGGAAGAGGCCCAGCGGGGTGTGGAGCTGCCCCAGCGTTCCCAGGTCGCACCCCCGGCCCTGGACGTGTGCCTGTGCCTGTTCCTGTGCTGGCTGCGGGGGCACTCCCAGGGGGCCACTGCCCACCACCCTGGGCCCCACGCACTGCTGCCTGCTGCTGGGTCCCTGCTGGGTTCCAAACCTTTGACCTTTCAGGCATCCGAGAGCCTGCAGGGCGCTGGCCTGCCCAGGCCTCTTGCGAATGAGCCAATGTGTTCTCCTGGGGCATAGCAGGTGGGCTGCTGCAGCCGGGGCGGCCGTCTGGCCCAGGGTGGGGAACCTTCTGGGGAAGCCACGGAGTGCTAGCGGGTTGCTGGTACCTTGATGCACTCCCTGTGGCAGCCGCCACGCGTGAAGGCCCTTTCCTGCAGCCCTCACCCGCAGCGGCCAGGGAGAGAGGCGTCTTTTGGTTGAGCTGAGGTTTGCTTGCGTGTGGCCTCCACCTGCCGGTCTGGGTTTACAGAGAGCAGGCAGGATGGGAGTTTCTGTGAGGAGGGCTGGGGGCATGGAGCCCCAGTGAGGAACAGACGGTGCGGTGCCTGGGGAGCTGGGGGTGCCACCGTGCTCGCTGACGTCTGCTTCCTGCCCTGTAAAGTGAGAGTAACAGGGGGCAAAATGCTGGACACAGGCCGCTCCTCTCTGCACCTTGGCTTCTTCCTCTATAAAATGGGGCTGCCGGCTTCCCAGAGCCGCAACAGGGATCCACTTCCGTGTGTGTGTGTGTTTTGAAAAGTCACGAGGATCTGAACAAGGCATTTGTTAAACTGGTCAGCTCTGCCTTCCAGACCCTCCCCCCCCCCCGCCCCGCCATGCTTCATGCATTCTCTGTTAGATGAACTAGAATTCCAGAAGATGAGTTGGGTTGAAGGTCGGTAGGGATGGGTCCTGGACCCAGCCTGGGCTTGGGGAGGCTGGAACACGAAGGATGCTCAGGGTGGGAGGAGGAGGATGGTTGGGGGTAGGGGAGATGGCACTGTGCTATGAGCTCAGCCTGCCACGAGCTGACCACGGCTAACACCCCCCTGTCTGGCTCTTAGCTACGCTGTGACCGTCCAGGAGTCATATGCACACCCCTTCGACCAGATCTACTACACACGATGCACAGACATCCTCAACTGGTTCAAGTGCACCCGGCACCGGTGAGTTCCACTCTCGGGTGAGGGGCGGGGCGGAGGTGCTGGGCTGCCTGGGCTCACCTTTGTGCTGATTAGCGACAGGCTCCGGGGTGGACGTGCGCCCTCCTCCCTGGACTCCCCATGCTTGGCTGATGGCACCTTTTTGGCTGGAGGGACTTGGGCAGGGCAGGCCGGAAGTCCTGGTGGGTTAATGATGGATAGAGACTTGGTGGATAGATACCCCAGCCTCCTCACCCTAGGGAGAGGAGACGCCTCTAGGGCCTGTTCTACACTGAATCCCAGATCTTTCTATTTCCTTAGCAGGCAGAATTAGGGAGAGAGAGAGAGAGAGAGAGAGAGAGAGAGAGAAAGAGGCGCCTATCCACTGTTTCACTTCCCAAATGCCCGTGATGGCTAGGGCTGGGCCAGGGCTGAAGCCAGGAGCTGTGTCTGCAATGCAGGTTTCCCACCTGGGTGACAGAAATGCAGTAACTTGAGACCTCCCCCAGCAATGATGCTTCCCTGGGCCCTGGCAGCTCAGAGGCCAGGGCTCCGTGGCTGGGTGAGCGAGTGGCTGCTTATTAACACAGGCTGCAGCCCTGCCCCGTGAATGCTTCTGCTGAATTATTGAGTGGCCTTGCAGCTTTCCCGAGGGCCGGGGGAGCGCGCACGCTGACAGCGGCACCGTCCGCCCGCCCCGGCCAGAATGGCTATTGGAACTCAGCGTCCTTCCTCTGAGAGCAGCTGGCCCCTACCCTCTCCTGCTCCCCAGACTGGAGCAAGCCAGGACGGGTGGGCCGGAAGCAGCAGGTGCTGTCTCTCCCGAGGGGTGGGGCGTGGGCCGTTAACAAGGCCAAGGCTGAGGCCACTCCCTTGGGAGGGCTTGGGGACATCCCGTGCAGTGCGGAGAACAGGCCGGAAGCTGCCAGGAGCTGCCTTCCCGTACCAAGGAGGCAGCTTCACTTCGAGGCCAGCCTGCCTTCTATTACGGGCTTTTGACAAAGTAGAATGACCTTAGCTTCCGACATCCCTAAATATCACGGCTTTCCCCAGAGGCCTGCGCCATCGTTTGTCAGGAAGTGGAGCGGGAGGCCTGTCCCAGGGTGTACGGGAGGACTCCCTTCTGAGCTGGCCCAGGCCCTGGGGAAGCAGGTGCAGGCATTCCGAGGGCCACCATGGCGGCCCCTGCTGCTCTGGGCAGAGGAGCTGTCCTGGGGATAGACGAAGTGGACGGGGCTCCAGCTTCTGGGCCTAAGGACTTGGGGTTGAGTCCTGGTGACACGCCAAGGTCCCTTCGGCTCTGTGCCCCCGACGGTCACTTCGGCCTCCTTCTGTGGGGGAGGGGCTTCGCCTGTTGGGACCCCGCCTGAGTCCTGTCCGAGGATGCAGTCCTCACCCCCTCCACGTCCCCCTCTCATCTTGCTGCTTCCCGGGAGCCACCCAGGGGGTAGTGGGGTAGGCCCGGCCTCCGGATTACGGTGAGCTGGGTTTGACACTGCCTGAAGGTGCAACCCCAAACAAGTCATTAACTTCTCTGACTCCTCGGCTTTGTCCTACCTGAAACAAAGGGCAGGGGTGACAGAAAATAAAGTAAGAACAAAAGCTCTCAGAAATCAACAAAACGTAGGGGCCGGCATTGTGGTGCAGTGGCTTAAGCAGCTGCTGGTGATGCCGGCGTCCCCTATAGGAGTGCCGGGCGTGGTCCCAGCTGCTCCACTTCTGATCCAGCCCCCTGGGAAAACAGTGGAAGATGACCCAAGTACTTGGGCCCATGCCATCCATGTGGGAGGCCCAGATGGAGTTTTGGACTCCTGGCTTCTGCCCAGGCCTGACCATTGAGGCCTTTTGGGAAGTGAGCCAACAGATAGAAGTTATCTTCCTCTCTCTGTCCCTCTGCCTTTCAAATAAATAAAATACATCTTAAAAAATAAATAAGCAAACACAACCAAGTGGTGGCCTACCCTGGTCCCTGCCTCCGGAGCTTGTGGGGTGGGGGTGGGGCACGTGTGAGACGGCACCTGTGCATCTCTGGCACAGAGCCAGGGCCTGCCCCCGGGCCTGCATCGGCACCAGAGCCCACACCTCTGGCTCCCCATCCAGAGCGCCAGCGCCTCTGTGGGCCTCAGCTCTCCCTCTGCAAAGCGAGGTGGGGTCAGGGCCTTCCCGGGGAGGCTTCTCTCTGGGAGGGCTTATCTGTGGTGCGAGGGAGACGAATCCACTCTCTGGGACCAGGTCGGACTCAGAGGTCCTTTGGCTGCCTGGGTCTCAGTGCTCGGGGGGAGGGGGGGTTACCAGCATGGGGGGGGGGCGGGTGGAAGCAGCCCGGCTTGTGGGGGGTGGGCACAGAAGGCCCCGGTTGCCCTCCGGTCACCCCAGTGTCTTCCCTCTCCCTGGGGGAGTCTGGGGACAGCCAACAGGGTCAGCCTGGGCTCTGCATCGCGGGGCCCGGCCCCCGCCATCGATTTCCCTCTGTGGTGTTCCTCCGTAGGCGCAGCGCCGTGCATTTTAAAGCAATTATTGAATGGCGTCCCCGATAGAGCTTAACACAAATATCATTCTAAACGGGAGCGATCGATCTCCAATAGCTTCAAGTGGCTTTCTCCCTTGTGCCTTAGGATCAGCTATAAGACGGCGTATCGGCGGGGCCTGCGCACCATGTACCGGCGGAGGTCCCAGTGCTGTCCTGGCTACTATGAGAACGGGGACTTCTGCATCCGTACGTAGGGGCTGCTGCTGTGCTGGCCTCGGCGGGGGTAGCGGGGGAGGGGAGTGGGAGAGAAAGGGAGGGCTGTCACGCAGGGCCCCTGCGCGGGAGGCCTCGGCTGCCCCCGCCAGCTCCAGGTGTCCCCCCTGCTGCCCGCGTTCAGAGGACATGACCGACGTGATGCAGACACAGCAGCGGATCCACCTGCTTACGGCGTGGGCGGGAGCGAGGGCAGTCCGGGGCTTTGATGGGGCAGAGGGGAAGTGGATCCGTCTGAAGTCAGCTCTTGGAAGAGCAAGAGGGAAGAAATGCCGAGTGCCTGGCGCGGGGCTAGTGCCAGCCAGAGCAGGGGCTCAGAGGCTTTGCTGGCTGGAGGGGGCGGCGTGGGGCAGGCTGTGTTCTTGGACAACAACACTCCAGGATCTACGAGGACAGCCGGGGTGAGACCATGGGGAAGTGGTTCCCGAGATCAGAGGGGAGCCTTGCAGAGAAAAAAATGGATTCGTGGAAGACAAAAGGACCTCTTTCCCTGTTGTATGTAGAAACTCTGCACGCTGGAGCATTAGCGTCCCCAGAAAGGCCAGAGCTGAGCTGCTGGCTGCCACAGGCCCTCTGGGTGGGGGCTGTGGGGGCAGTGGGTGCACCCGGAGCAGGAGCCTGCAGGCCTGGGCTCTGGGCAGGGCCCTGACCCTCGCTGGGAGATGGACTGGCTGTGAGGATGTCCCCACTCACCTCCGCCTTGTGGCAGGGGCCCGTGGGGGACTTCCCAGGGGGCATGAGAAGGTTTGCGCCCCTGCAAGAGAGGGTCAGAAAAGCTGGGAGACCCCTCCTTCATGACTGACAGGAGATCTTAGCAACCCCCTTCCCCACCCCCACCACGGCTGCCTCTTCATCCATAGGGTGGGTTTCCTCGCGTGCGTGGAAGGAGCTTTCACCAGAGGGAATTCCGGGTGGAGTGGGTGTGTTGCTGTTGGGAATGAAATGAGGATTTTCCCTACCATGGCTCCATCCCCCCCTAACACTGGAGCCACTCGATTCTAATTGCATTGTAGGAATGAATGAGAAATGCTGCCGCACATACGTTCGATAGGGATGGTTTTGCAGGACAAATAGAAAAAAACTCAGCCAGAGCAAATCTTAAAAGGCTGCATCTCAGGAGCAGGGCTGAGTACCAGCGAGGACGGGACCTTGGCAGGTGCCTCACCTGGGTAGGAACCCGGCATTGAAACAGCATCAGGACAAAGGCTCCACCCACACGCAGAGGAGCAAGAGTCAGGCGGGGGTGGAACATCGGGGGCCGATCAGGCTGAGCAGGATGGATGTGAGCAGTGAGTCTGAGCTCAGGGCACAGGGACGGGCACGGGAGATTATAAAGGGAGTTCGGACGTCAGCATGGGCTGCAGGAATGGATGAGCACCCTGGGAAATGCGGGGACCCTGGGCAAATGAAGAGCAAGGCAGAAGCGCTGTGTGTCCTGATTGCTTAGGTTTGGCCTTGCCGGCCAGGGAGGCAGCACATAACCTCCCGGCCCAGCCCTTATGTAATCACGGAGCGCTGCCGGCTGTGCTGGTGTCCACAAGCCTGTCCAAGCCCAGCCTGGAATGCCAAGTTCAAGACGGAAGAGGGGACAGTAGGGCAAGCTGGGTGCTGGTCGTGGTTTGAGCTTCACTCTGCCACTCTGTGCTGAATGCTGGTGTTAATCCATTCAATGCATCTTTGTGGTGTCCCACTGTGCCAGAGCAGGGGACACAGACACAGGTGATGCCGGCGGCAACAGCCGGAGCCGAGCTGATCTGTTTTTTTTTTTTTTTTGACAGGCAGAGTGGATAGTGAGAGAGAGAGAGACAGAGAGAAAAGTCTTCCTTTTGCCGTTGGTTCACCCTCCAATGGCCGCCACGGCTGGCACGATCTGAAGGCAGCAGCCAGGTACTTATCCTGGTCTCCCTTGGGGTACAGAGCCCAAGCACTTGGGCCTTCCTCCACTGCCTTCCTGGGCCATAGCAGAGAGCTGGCCTGGAAGAGGGGCAACCGGGAAAGAATCCGGCCCCCCGACCGGGACTAGAACCCGGGGTGCCGGCGCCGCTAGGTGGAGGATTAGCCTAGTGAGCCGCGGCGCCGGCCGCTGAGCTGATCTGAAGCCAGGAGTTTCTTCTGGGTCTCCTGCCCGGGTGCAGGGGCCCAAACACTTGGGCCATCCTCCACTGCTTCCCTAGATGCATTAGCAGAGAGCTGGGACTCAAACCGGTGCCCGTATGGGATGCCAGCACTGTAGGCAGAGGCTTAGCCCACTGTTCCACAGCACTGGCCCCAGAGTCCCTCTTTTCACTAGGACATTTGTCAGAGTGGATCAGGGCCACCCCCATCACCTCGCATCACCTTGAGTGCCTGTGAGACCTTATCTCCAAGAGAGGGTGCCCGGGCCCTGCAGTGAATTGAGCGGGAGAAGCTTGGAGGGCTGCAGTCGGTGGGTGTCGGCCTCTCTCCTGCTCCTGTGACAGTGGGGCAGGCTGAGGAGCAGCCGTTCCTGCCCGGGCTTTGCGACCTGTGCATGCGGGAATGGAGACGGGGTGGGGGGTGAGGGTGGTCTGGGAACGGGGTGGGGGCGCACCCAGGGCACTGAGTTTCAGAGGAGACATTTGTACACCTGGGGCATTCAGCAGTTCCCCCAACCCTTTGCCAAGACCCTGTGTGCAAACATCCCCTGTGCTCCGGGCAAGAAGTTGGCCCCCCCTCCAAAATCCCCGCCCTGGACAATAGAAGAGTAGTGGCCAGGAGTGCAGGCCTTGGTGGACTCTGCCACCAGCTTGCTGTGCAATCTGAGCCAAGCGCCTGAGCCTCTCTGGGCCAAGTGGGCGGTGGGTGGACCAGGGTACGCATGATGGGGAAGAGGTGCGAGGGTGGCGAGGTGTCTGGGGAAGCTCAGAGCTTGGCACTGATGCAGGAAGCCACTGTGTCTCTGCCTCAACGCCACCGTCCTCATCAGGGAGCCCTTCTAGAAGCTTCTGCCTCCTCCTGCCCCAGCCTCCCCTTTTCCCCTCCCATTGCCTACACGTTCTGCTGAGTCCTGGCCCAGCTTGGCCTCCAGGCAGCCGTTGTTTCCCAGAGATCACTGGGCACGAGTGTGATCTCTCTTTCTCCTGTCTGGACAGGGCTGTGGGCATCCTGGCCCCTGTGGGCGGAGCTCTGTTGGCGGAGCAGCCTGTCCCGTGTGCCGCAGGGCTGGGCAGCCCTGCTCTGTGAAAGCATCGTCCTCGCCCCCCATGGGGTGGGCTGGGCTGGGTTACGCTGCATCACGAGGCCCAAATCCCAGAGGCTTGGGAGTTGTCCATGCTTCGTGCATCTGGTGGAGTGGCTGCTCCGCGCGGTGGCTGGCTGCTGTGGCCAGGAGAGGGCTCCAGCTGGTCGGAAGGCAGAGAGTGGGGACCGGTGAGAGAGCAGGGTGAGAACTTACCCCAAGTCCCCTCCAAGTGCCACTGACTCCCAACCTGCACTTCGATCAAACGTATTCTCACAGCCGCCTAACAGGCTCACCTGAGCCCGACTCTGTGCTTGGGGGTGGGGGTGGGGGGCTCACGTGGGGGGTGTGCCCGATCACAGCTGCCTGGAGGACGTGGACCAGGACCAAGGAGCAGGAGCCACCGCTGTTTCTTCCTAGTGCATTCCCAGCCACTGGTGTTACTGCTGAGCTGGGAGTGTCCTCCGAGACCCACAGGCTGTGCTGTGCTGAGGGCTGATTGCTGTGCCGGCCACAGCTTCAGAGTCAATTGCACAGAGCCGTGGTAGGCTGGTGAGCAGGTGCAGCCCCTTGGCATTGAGGGGTTCTCCTGCCCGGAGGGAGCAGGGCTGACCGACGGGGGTGAGCAAGGGAAGAGGGGGTGCATCTGCCCCCATACCTGTCTCCCTGGGGTGCATCTGCCCCCATACCTGTCCCCCAGGCAGAGTTAATGCCCCCCAACCTTCCAGTTGGTATTTTAGGTGCCCTGCAGAGGCCCAGGCCTTGTAAAAGCCAGGGTCTGCCCGCAGCCAGAAGTGGAGGGCTTGTGGGGGCTGGGCCTGCTCAGGGCACACGGTCAGCTTGGCCTCCGAGGGGTTCACCTGCGCATGGAAGCTGAGGTTCTGTGAGACTGGCCGCACAGGTGTGGTTGACACCCAGGGAGCTCTGTGTGCCCATGCAGTGGTTTGTGTATCCTGCTTTCTCGTAGCTGCTGTTCTGTACGGTCAGTGTTGACACTGACCTTGAACTCATGTGTTGACTGAGGTCTGCTCATCACCTGTACCTGCATCTCACTCTCCTAGGGTCCACCTCATTCTTCTAGAAGGATCTCTGGTAGTCTTCCTGGGGGAGGGCCTGCGCATGGCCAGCTCGCTCTGCTTGTCCCCCTGATTTTGCCCTTGCTCCTGAAGCTGCAGCTGCCTGGGCTGCCCAGGTCGCAGGGGTGTGACGGTGCCGCTCCCCTGGGTCCTGGGCTTTGTCATTGCTCGCTCCTGCAGTGTTGCTCAGATGCATCTGGGTGTGCAGTTATTTTTAAGTATGCTGCCTGTTTTTTTCTGAGGACTACATGTTCTTCAAGCTGAGGAGTCAGGGCCTCATCGGTTCTGGAAGTTTCTCAGCCACGTCTCTTTAAAGCTCTCCTGCCCTGCGTTGTCTCAGTTCTCCATGGCCGCTCCCCCGTGTTGGGCCCACAGATCCCCTCCTGTCTCCTGAATTCCCATCTCTCATCTCGTTCTCTCTCCACGCTGTGCCCTGAGCAGGTTCCTCGGACGCATTTTTCAGCTCCCACAGCTCTGCTAATGACCTGTCTACTGAGATCTCGTTCCGGTGACTATGAGTGTGTTTCACGTCTCGGGCTTTATTGGTCCTCCTTCCACCTTCTTTCTGGGGTGTCCCTTTCTTTCATTAGGAATTCTCTTCCTCCTTTTATTGCTTTAATTATTTTAAACATATTTCTTTTATGGTCTCTTTCCAATAATCCTATCTTGAGCTATTAGTTGCATTAGCTCAAGTTCGTAGA